TTGTTCTGTCCTTTCGAATGACACAATAGCCTATTTGCAAAAATCTGGCCCAACCTAGTGGTTGCAATGGCTCAGAGCGGCTCAGAACTCGGCTTGCGATCGTGGCTCAGTAGATGGCTAGAAACCGGCACTGCTGTTTTTACTTTATACCTTTTTAAAATCATAACTTTTTTTTTTTGCACCCAAACTGACGCTCATTCTGGATCTTGGCAATACTCCTATCTCTGGCTCCTTGTGCCGACTGCCGGGACGGCACTGCTGTCCTTTCTGTCGGCAAAAGCAAAGCCTGTGGAACTTTACTGAAGGTGGCATTCTGGTAGGCACATCAGTCATGAGGGGGACTTTTCACAGGTGTCTTGGACCCAGGAGCTTATAATCTCAAATCCACAGGACTGAAACAGGCATAACTAACTCCGAGTCCTTGCCGGGGGAAGTCAGGGAGCGGTTCCTGGCTGCAGGCTCCTCTCAGCCCCCTTTCGAGCATTGGCTAATTTTGTGTGCCTTAGGATCTCTGCTGACGGCATTTGAAGGTTGTGCCCGTCTCCCCAAACTCTGTCCGAGGTATAATGAGATTAAGTCATCTGCCCAGAGAAAGACCCCAGACCCACAAAAGGGGACCTGGCATTCTCCTTCCTCAGAGCTCTGTACCTGGGGAGACCTTCTGGAGCACAGCATTCTGGTCTACCAGGAGGGGTGGTTGGTTATCTTTGCTCCTTCCGCCCCCATGGGACACCAGGTCCCTAAGGTCACAGGTGTAAACTGCTCTGCAGGTTGTGAGCCAGAAGCATTCAAGGTCATGCATCTTGGGACTCAAGGACACTAGGAAGATCCCCGTCAGGGTGTGAGCCCTTGCCAGGCCCTAGCATCGCTGCTGGCCGTGGCCCTCGGCCTGGAGAGCCAAGCTCCCTTTGTCACCCTGCTGTCACTCGTCCTGCCGCTGGCTCCCTGCCCGTTCCCTGCCTCCCTCTGCCCAAGCCCAGCCTCCGCCTGGGTTCTTTGGGTGCATGCACTGTCGTCTCCACCCTCTTTTTAAAAATTAATTTCTATTTTTTAGAGGGTTTTAGGTTTACATTAAAAAGAGCAGAAAGTACAGAGAGCGTCTATACACCCCTTGCCAGGTTCCACTGCTATTATTATTTTTTAAAGATTTTTAAAAAATTTTTTATTTATTTGACAGAGAGAGACACAGCGAGAGAGGGAACACAAGCAGGGGCAGTGGGAGAGGGAGAAGCAGGCTTCCCACCGAGCAGGGAGCCCGATGCGGGGCTTGATCCCAGGACCCTGGGACCATGACCTGAGCCGAAGGCAGATGCCCAACGACTGAGCCCCCCCCCCGGGCGCCCCTATTTATTTTTTGTCACGGTAAAGTATGCACAGCGTGGTTCCCCCCCCCCGCCACCTGAAGGGGTCAGTTTTGTGGCATTGGGACCGGTCACATCCTTGGGCCACGGGTCCCAGTCTAGCCCAGGGAACTTTTGCACCCTTTTTACCCTGCTCTGCTCCTCCCACTCAGCTTCCCTGTGTGCCGCCAGCCCGGCCCCTGCCCCTCCTGCCAGCCCACCCGCCCTGAAGTTGGCAGGCCCCCCTCCCTCCCTCCCACGCTCCCTTCCCGTTTCACCTCACCACTGCTCCATGGCACGATTTTGCCTCCTCCTGGACGTGTGCCCCGTTCTGGACACCTTGTCCATCTCCAGATTTCTTCCTTTTTTTTTTTTTTAAGATTTTATTTTATTTTTTAAAAAAGATTTTTATTTATTTATTTGAGAGAGAGAGAGTGAGCGGGGCCGGGGGGAACATAGGTAGAGGAAGGAACAGACCCCCAGACTCCCCAGCTGAGCAGGGAGCCCAGTGCGGGGCTCGATCCCAGGACTCTGGGATCATGACCTGAGCCAAAGGCAGCCGCTTAACGACTGAGCCACCCAGGTTCCCCCAAATTTCCTCTTTTTAAGGGACACCAGCCACTTTGGATTCAGGCCACCCTAATGGCCTAATTCCAACTTAATCACCTCTGTAAAGACCCGTCTCTGAATACAGCCAGATTCTGAGGTGCTGGGGGTTTGAGCTTCAACATACGATTTGGGGGGCAAGGGGAAGACACACACTTCGACTCATTAACATGTGGAAAAACACACTCATGATACGACTGAAGGCAAGACCCGGGGTCATCCCAGTGGGGGGGGTCTTTGCTTTTTATAAGATAGGCACAGAAGGTAGGAGAAAACACACAAATGCTTTCGGATCCTGTGATTTAAGGAACTTGTGTTCTTTGTGCGTCTCTGAGCTTGTTTCCTAATTTACAAGAAAAAAAAAAGCATTCAAAAATAGGTCAAAGGGGGCACCTGGGTGGCTCAGACGGTTAAGCGTCTGCCTTCAGCTCAGGTCATAATCCTAGGGTCCTGGGATCGAGCCCCGCATCGGGCTCCCTGCTCCGCGGGAAGCCTGCTTCTCCCTCTCCCACTGCCCCTGCTTGTGTTCCCTCTCACTGTCTCTCTCTCTCTGTCAAATAAATAAAATCTTAAAAAAAAAAAAAATTAAAAAAAAATAGGTCAAGGACTCTCTCCGCATGTAGTTTTTGATAGAGAACAGAGTTTGGGAACCAGGTTTCATTTCAATAAAGTCGGCTCACAGAGGAACAAATGCATTTAGAGAATAAGTGGGGAGTGTCTCAAGGGAGTGAATATTTGTGGGGGGTGTTTGACAGACACCCCCAGGGCACGGCCTTCTGCAGGACACCCTGGGGCCAGAGCTGCGGGGACTGTCCCCTGCCCACCGGGGTGGGGTGGGAGCCAAACTCTGAACACAGAGGACAAAGGTCTTAGGAGCCAAGTTTTTCTGCTCACTGAGTGACCTGAATGCTCGGACCCCGTTCTCTCGTTTGTAAAACCTCGCATTTAGGAGGACGCATCTGCCAGAGCCTCAGTGGCCCAGAGCATCCGCTCCGCATCGGGTGTGTGGGAAAAGGCAGGATGTGAGCACTTGTATTTTGGGATCCCCTTCAAATCTTCCAGCACATTCTTTTGATTATCCTCCACGGGGGCAAACGTCTTCACTGAAGGACGGTTTGGTTTTTAGAATCGGCTGAGAGTTGTTTGCAGCCCAGCCTGGCGGTTAGAAGGATTAACGAAGAAGGAATACCGGCGGAGGCCCCCGGAAGGAGGTGGGACTCCAGCCTCGCCCACACGGAGGCCACGAGCCCCTGCAGTGTGGCTGGTCCCAGCTGAGATGCACTTAACGCAAAACAGACACCAGACTCCAGAGGCTGAGGGAATGCAAAGCAGCTCATCAGTAATTGTTTTCATATTGATTACATGCCAAAATGATACTGTTTGGGAAATAACGAGTGAAATCAGAGTATATTACCAAAATTAATCTTCCTCATTTCTGTTAAAAAATGCGGCTAGTGGGATATTTGAAATTGCGTATGTGGTCGAATTACATTTCTACCGGGCAGCGCTGGTCTAGAAAGAAGGGACTCATGTTCTTGTACGGCTCATTAAGGGACCTGGTCATTCTGGAATGATTCTTGAATTCTAAAAATATTCTGGACAACAGAATCATCATTAGAATAACTATCATTTTTCTAGACAGTTAGTTGGACAGACAACATGATGTGTAGGGGCCACGTGATTTTTTTTTAAGAATTTCATACCGAGGTTGGCAGGTGCCGGGGCGTGCCTCAAAGTTCAGACAGTAGCACCAGTGGGGGAGACAGGGAGGACCTGGAGAGGCCAGGAAGGCTTCCCGGAGAGACTGTTTGGGTGGAGAGGGGCCGAGTATCCAGATGGTGGTCCGAGCCAGGGGTCAGCTGTCTGCAGCCCATGGGCCAAATCGAGCCTTCTGCTTGTGTTCTAGTCTTCGAGCTGAGGATGGATTTTATATTTTTAAATGGTTGAAAAAAAATTGAAAGGAGAATTTTTTGTGACACGTGGTGACTTGTGAGATTCAGGAGAGAGTCTGTTAATCAAGTCTCACTGGGTCGCAGACACACCTACTGGTTACTGTCTGCAGCCGCTTTCACACTGTGGGACCCTCTGCCGTGGGGGTGAGGGTCCCAGAACCGTGATTTTCAAGGCGATGCTGATATTGGGAACCTCAGTGATTCGGGAGAAGGGAGTGATGGATCTTTCTAGGTAAAGATGCAGACAAGGGAGGGGTGACTTTCAGGAGGTGGTTAGAAGAATCTTGTGCTTGGGAGAGTTAGGGCCGTTTTGGGGAGACCCGAGAACAAAGTTGGGGGCACAGGAGGGGCCCTCACGGAGCCAGGTGGGCTGAGGATCCGGCATGGAGCCCCATGGCCTCGGACAGTGAAGGGCACCCTAAGACCCGCCCCTCCGCCCCACGAGCCCGTGCAAACCCTCAAGCAGAAAGATCCTCACTTAGGGAACATCGCAAACCAGCTCTGGATTTGAGGAGAAGTGTGCAAAAATGCAGAAGGTTCAAAGAACAATGTAATATACCCAGTTGATGGTTCAAAATATCATTTTCTTGTGGTAAAATAGACATAATATAAAAATGTACCACCTTACCAAGTGCAAGGTCAGTGGTATAAGGTACATTCACACTGTTGTGAGACCATTACCACCACCCGTGTCCGGAACATTGTCATCATCCCAAACTGAAACTCTGGCCCCCAAAACACTAACTCCCTGTCCCCATCCCTCCCCCAACCCCTGGCGCCCCCTCATCCTACATTCTCTCTCTATGAATCTGATGACTCCAGGGGCCTCGTGTAAGTGGAATCCTACACTATCTGTTTTTTTGTGAGTGGCTGACTTCACTGAGCACAGTGTCCTCCAGGTCCATCCATGTGGCAGGTGGCCGGATGTCCTTCCTTCTTAGGGCTGAATAATATTCCACCGTGTGGATGGACCACATGTAGTTCATCCACCCATCCATCAACAATTTTATCATATTGGCTCTCACCTTCATTTTTTTCCTTTCAAAGGGGAAGGTGAAGTCCCTCTGCAGATGCCTCCGTCCCAGCCCCCGCCCCATGAATCTGGCCTGCACCCTGCCCAGCGCGGTCTGAGCCTCGGACATGCACCATCTCTGGCCAGGGGCAGCATGGCTCTGCGCACATGTCTTCATTTATACGGGCGAGTTCACACCCGTGGCTCATTCCACGGCTCAGTTTGGTGGTCTGTGTTCCCGGGGCTCGACCGATGGGAAGCGTCTGGTTAGTTCACATAGCGAGTGATTTTGATTGTTGGGTTTTTGGCTGAAATAGAAATTGCTTTTGGCCCATCTGCTGGGTGTTGGGCTTTTGTTTAGACTGAGAATTCTTCCTTTTTATCAGCTCTTCCATTTACTCCTCTGTGAATTGACGCTCTGCTCCTTTTGTTGGTGACTCTCTAGGAGTTCTGTATGTATACTGGATCAAATCCTTTTGTTTCTTGTTTATTTTTTTATTTATTTTTTTAAGTTTTTATTTATTTAAGTAATCTCAACACCCCACGTGGGGCTCAAACTCATGACCCCGAGATCAAGAGTCACATGCTCCTTCGACTGAGCCAGCCAGGCCCCCCTCTCGTTTATTTTTTTAAAGAACGAGTTGTAGGCAAACTCGGGTCCTTCACATACTGCTTGTGACACCCTTCCCAGCTGCGATGACCCGTCGCATGTCGGGACATCAGGCCGGGCCTGGGGGTGGAGGAGGCCGGGAAGGACGGGCTGGAGGAAGGAGGATGCTCCCTGGGAAGCACGGTGGAAGGGCGAGAAGTTCAGGAAGGGAGGGCTTGTGGGCACAGACACAGGGGTGAAAACTGAGCAAAGAGAAGTCTGGAAGTTTTATGAGATCACCATGGGGGACGTTTGCCATGCCTGGAGACATTTTTGGCTGTCATAATGGGAAGGAACTGAGAACGACCTGGCCTCAAACGTGCATGGTGCCACGTGGCCTTGTGCTAGCAGGACCCATCCCGGTAGTTAGTGAACCACCATCCAACTCGAGCTTACTGGTGTGAGGCAGGACGCAGCGCCGAGGACACCTGGCTCAAGCCCATGACCTTGGCCTGACGCGCCTCCTCTGTGTCTTTCTCCCCCAGCCACATCTGGACGAGCCCCGCCCGGGCCGAAGCGTGCGGAGGATGGAAACCCTCCCCCGGCAATGTCTCTGGGCCGTCTCCTTCGCCGGGCCTCCTCCAAAGCCTCAGACCTCCTGACCCTCACCCCGGGCAGTGGTGGCGGGCCCCCCTCCGTCCTGGAGGGGGAGATCATCTACTCCAAGAACAATGTCTGTGTGCACCCACCAGAGGGGCTGCAGGGGCTGGGGGAGCACCACCCAGGTGAGCCCAGGAGGTGGGAGGGCCTGGGTAGAGGGGCTTGCTTTTCTTTCGAAAGTAACGAAGCCATAGCTTTGGAAAGCTTTCATGTCACTTCCCCATTTGTCCTAATTTCCCCATCTTCGAAGGGGCTGGTGACCTTTAACTTATACACATGGGGCAGGACAGTTTATGGGCAATCGGCCTCAGAAGAAGACATTAGGTCACTCCAGGCTGCTGGGAGCAGGGAGCCTACAGGCTGGGAAGCGGGCAGCCTTCCTCTGTGGGTGCTGGCCAGTACCCAGGGCCCCCTCCAGTGTGGCAGGAGCCCACCCCTCAAGCTAGGTGGCTGCTTCCCTTCCCACAGCCCAGAAGGCTGTGATGAGAACCAGGCGGACTGTGGGACAGGCCATGGACATCACCGGTCCTGTCTCCACCTGTCCTCAGACCCCACTGTTCTGAAATTAGGGCAGGAAACATCAGCTGGAGTCTGCAGCAGGGAGATGCAGGGACCGTGAATTCATCCCCCTGGGGCCGTGCCCGGGACACACCAGTGCCAGGACCTTCGTGAGCCTGGGGTGGACACTTTTCCTGTGGTGTCAGCGGCTTTGCCATCTTGTGCCAAGTCACAGACAAAGAAACTGCATATTTTTCCAGGGCTCAGGACGCGGCGGTGGCCAACTGCCCAGTGCATGGCAGGGCAGCAGGTCACAGCACGGAGCAAAGCATTCGCTTCTCTTCCAGGACGGGTACCTGACCATGGCTGTCCTCGGGCTGGGGGCAGATCTGAGGCTGTTAGATCTGGTCATAGTGGCCGGGCACTGACTTCCCTCAGCCCCGCTGCCCCCCATGGAAGGAACAAAATGATGGGTTGGTGATACCCAAGTCCTGTGTGGTCCTTTGTCGTTTGTGCAAATGACTTGCAACAAATACATGGATTGCTTTATTTTATTTGTATGTTAACTTCATGAGCGTGCCCGGAACCCCAGGCAGGCAGGCCTCTTTTTTGGACGAGGAAGTTGGTGCTCAGAGAGGCTGGGCCACTCCCAACGCTTGCCCGGGGTGGAGGTGGGGCAGGGGTGGGCACTCCTCGTTCTTCCTGCAGCCTCCCCAGGCTGCTGGAGGATGCTCAGGCCCCACCGTGCACCTGCAACCTGGCTGTGGCCTGTGGACTTGCCCACCCAGCGCAGTCAGAGGCCCCACACCAGATGTCAGAACATCTAAAAAAGTTATAAATTACAGTCAGGCCTGAGCGCTTTGCTGTATGCAAATTATGTGTCAACAGAATACTGAATAAATTAATTAAAATACAAAAAGTTTAAATTATGTTAATGAACTATTCCTACCTCGATAAGTCTATCTTTATAGTCACCCAGATGGTCAGGTGCAGGTCTGGAATCATCAGCCCCTACAGGTTCCAAAGCAGGAGAGCCGAGGTCCAGCCTAGCTCTTTCCTGCGCTATGAGGGACCTCGGGCATCCACGTGTGGACACCCCAGCCTGTCCACAGCCCCCACAGACAGCTCAGGAGCAGGCCCTGGAAGCTGGTTCTGGGCTGCAGACAGGGAATTCCAAGATCCTGCATCCCCGGCGTGTGCTCTAGAAGGGGGTGCAGGCTCTGGGTGGCACATGGCCGTGGATGCCTGACCACGGGGCCGACTCTGAGGATTCAAGGAGGAGGCAGAGGTTCTAGGGCCGGGTCTGAGAGTGTTAGCCCTTCTGGTCTAAATCAGAAAGAACAGCACAGCCTCGGGAGAGCTTCATGTTGATGCTGTTGTGATGGAAGGCCTGGTGGGGGGTGGGGGCAGAGGCCTGGGGCTCCCTTCCCAATCTCCGAGCCGCAGGATCTGAGGGTGTAGAAAAGTGTGGCCTCCCCTGCACCTTACCATTACCACTGAGTGTCCCCACCTCTTCTGGAAATGGAGCCAGGCTCAGGAGACTCCGGTGCAGGTTCTCAGAGCCCCGAGGGATGTGAGGGCCCAGCTCCAGCCCCAGGGGCTTTCAGAGAGGAGACCAGGAGGTCTGGGCACCTGGCATGATCGGCCCAGAAATCAGGACATCCTGAAGTGGCAGGAAGTGCCGCCTTCCCTCCAGACTGAGCGTCCAGGGGCCCAGAGAGCCCACCCATGGCTGCTGCCTCCTCGGAGAACCGCTCTTCTCCGCCCCTGTCTGCGGTCTGGTGCCTGACATCGGGGATGGCCCCTTCTTCCAGAAAGCCGCATTAAAGAAGATACACTGAGACCCCGACTGACCGGAAAACACCCAAACGCCCCTCTTTGGATTTATTTAGTATGATACATAAATAAAGCCCACAGCCTCCATCGCTCCCAGCTGTGGTGAAACCGGGCTCCTGGGCTCCTGGGCCCCTGGGCTCCTGGGCCCCTGGGCTCACCCAGACCTGGAGGCTGGCTGCGCCCGGGGACGCCAGACTGTGGCCGGGGTGGGGCTCTGAGCTGGAGGAGGTCTCCCCGTGCGTGGAAAGACAACGACAGGTCCCTGCCTGGGAGCCCAGTGCCCCCGAATCTGCTAAGTGCCCCCAGCTTTCACTCAGCTCAAGCCTGACCACGCCCCCTGGCCGGACTGTCTCGGGGCGTGGCCTCTAGCAGAAGCCAGAGGGAGGCCCCACCGTCCCTAACCTGCCTGTCCTCCTGACCCTCCCAGGCTATCTGTGCTTGTACATGGAGAAGGATGAGCTGCTCGGGAGCACCCTCATCCTCGCGTGGGTCCCCAACTCTCGCATCCAGAAGCAGGACGAGGAGGCGCTGCGCTACATCACCCCTGAGAGCTCCCCGGTGCGCAAGGCGCCCCGCCCGCGGGGCCGGCGCGCCCAGAGCTTGGGGACGCCCCACCAGCCCTCCCCTACGGAGCCCAGGCCCGCCCTGACCCCCAGAGACGAGGATGCCCTGGTGGTGGTGCAGAGCATCCAGGACGCCGTGCGCGTCAGCCCTTCACCCCCTTCCGAGGACGGGGAGAAGCTGGCCCAGGGCTTGGGGATGGCCCCGCCGGCGCCAGCCCACAGCGACTCCGGGATCCTGTCGGGGGTCAGCTCGCAGGACGGGCCGGAGGAGGGGCGGGAGCCCCGGCCCGAGGCCGGCGAGGAGGAGGGTTCCCTTGAGCTGTCGGCGGACGGTGTGAGCAGGGACAGCTCCTTTGACTCGGATTCCGACGCCTTCTCTTCGCCATTCTGCCTCTCGCCCATCAGCGCCGCCCTTGTGGACAGTGGCAGCTCCGTGTTCCTGGACAGCGAGAGCGGGTGAGTGCTGCGTCTGACCCCCAAGGCCGGCCCCGGGCCTCGCGGGGGGCAGCTGTGTGTGTCAGGCCTCTGCTCCCTGAGTGGTGAGGGCAGCCTGTGTCTCGCCCTGCCGGGGTCCGGCTCTCCCCAAGCCAGGGCCTCAGCACCCGTGTCCCATCGTCGATGCTGCCCAAGACGGCGGCGAAGGACCCGCAGTGGGGGTTCCACCTTCTCTCCCCTTCCTGTCCCCTTGGCGGCCTCACTTACGATAAGCCATCCCTACAAGTCTGACCTGCCCCATAACCCAAACTAAACCCCACGGGGCCAGGTCCTGGGAATCCCAGTTCTTATCACTGGGGGTACAGTAGATTGTCGGCCATCCCACAGACCCAAGGCATGCTCGGAGACTCCTGGCTGGTGGCATAAGGCTTACGGGGTTGCAGCCAAGCCAGGCACGTGGCCCAGCCCCCTGACCCCGGGGGAACCTTAGCCTTTCTGCCCAGACCCTTGAGCTGTAAGCGGCGGGAGCACAGTCCTGGGGGAATGTTGGTGGCATTCCCTCTATAGCCTGAGAGCCCAGGGGAGCCAGATGCCTGGGCACAGCAGCAGCCTTGCTGGTTCAGGCCACACAGGCAGAGCCGGGGGTGGGGGCAGGACTTAAGCTTCCTGGGGTGAACCTGTCAGGGGCTCGTGTAGCAGCCACCACACGGCATCATTAGGGGTCTGCAGGGCATCACGGGGGTGGACGTGCACAAGGCTCATGAACAGTGGGCTTGCACTAACCCGGAGCGGCCGGGGCCAGCACAGGACGGGCCACCCCCGACGTCGGCAACCCCTTCCCGTGCTCTGGCTGTGGTCCTCACTCTCCTTAGATTTCTAGGTAGACAGTGGTGAGCACGCTCCTAAGCGCTGATGTATTCAGCCAGCACACGATCGTTGACCTGGAGCTGTGAGCCAGGCACGGGCTAGGGGTGGATGGTTCAAGCATTGAGTGGGCACCAGGTGTGTGTGCCACGGATTACTTACGCTGATGCTCACAAGCACCCCCAAACCCTGTGAGGCGGGTCCTAACATCACCCCCGTCTATAGAAAGGGAAAGCGAGAGGCTCAGAGAGGTTACTTAACTTGCTGGAGGTCACAAAGCCAGTAAGCCAGCGGAACTGGAAGTGAGCCCGGATGGCTCTGCCCCGGACCTGGAGCACATGAGGTCACACAGGACAGACGTAAGCAAGGGAGCAGAGGAGAAGGAATTTGAGATGGATTCTTTCCTGATTTTATCCCCTCAACAAGATGTGGTCCATTAGAGCCTGAGAGTGGACTGATAACCTCTGTCTCGGGTATTGGAGAGCATATATGAAGGGGAGCGGTCCACTGTACCCCGTGAGGTTCACTGAGCTGTGTGGTGTTTCCCACCAGGGAAGCGGGCTAGGAATGGAACGCAAGCCTAGCTTCTGCAACACCACAGGGCTTGGTCAGAGCTCCCCCTGGTGGGCCACCCTGCTGGTGCCCGGCACCTCCAGGGCCCAGGTGGAGGGACGGGTCCCGAGCTCCCATCTTTACTGTGACTCAGGTGTCCTGGGCCTGGCCTGTGGTCTCATGGCTGAGGTCTTAGTGGCAGAATCAGAATCAGGGCCTGGTGTAATGGGCCTTGTAGCGCCCCTGATCACAGAAGGAGCTTGGATTTGGGAATTCGGGAGACCTGGTTGGCATGAGCCTGGGAAAGCTCTGTGTCTTCTTAGAACCTCCATCTCTTCTTTCGTAAGGTGAGGACAGTGACATCTGTTGTATGGGGTTACCCGGTGAATTCACTGCCGGCTTCCTTCCCCGTCCCCCGTGCCTTGCTGGTTCTCCACCCTGGCTGCCTGTGAGAATCAGGGGACCTTTTATACTCTCATGCCCAGGCAATTCCAGATGCTTCTAGAGCAGTGATTCTCACCTGGGGCCGATTCTGCCCTAGGGGACATGTGGCAGTCTCAGGACACACTTGAATCACAACCGAGGATGGAGATGTGATTGGCTGGCGGGTGGAGGCCAGGGATGCTGCGGAACACCCCACAATCTCCGGGACCGCCCCCCATGACAGAGGATCCTGCCCACGTGCCTCAGTGCCAAGGCTGAGAACCCTTCCAGACAGACAGGGGCGGCCCCAGAGTAGGGAAATTGTTTTGTTTTTCCAGTTGTGGTAAAATACACATAAAACAAAATTTGCCACTGTAGCCATTTAAAATTGTACAATTCTGTGGCCTTTAGCGCATTCAGTTGTGCAGCGGTGACCACTGTCTAGTTCCTGAACTTATTCCTCACCCCAAAAAGAAGCCCCACACCCACTAAGCTGCCACTCCCCATTTGCCCTCCCCCAGCCCTGGCAACCACTAATCTACCTTCTGTCTCTGTGGGTTTGCCCGTTGTGGACGGTTCCTGTAAGTGGAATCATGCCACATGTGGTCTTTTTTTTTTTTTTAAAGATTTTATTTATTTTGAGAGAGAGAGAATGAGAGAGAGCACATGAGAGGGGGGAGGGTCAGAGGGAGAAGCAGACCCCCCGCCGAGCAGGGAGCCCGATGCGGGACTCGATCCCGGGACTCCAGGATCATGACCTGAGCCGAAGGCAGTCGCTTAACTGACTGAGCCACCCAGGTGCCCGTGCCACATGTGGTCTTTGTGTCTGGCTTCTTGGAGCATGATGTCGAGGATGTGGACCTCCTGTTCACGGCTGGCTAATATTCCAGGTGATTCCGACTGCCGTTGGATGCGAGAGCCCCACTCTGTACCGTGTGCCAACTCCCGAGCGAAAGCAGGGGGGCGTCTCTCGGGTGCCGGGGTTCTGTGGCCACGTTAGGAGGCCTTTGGGGGGTAAGGCTTCCAGAGCCGTATGTTTGCTTTCCAGACCCCCGGCCCCACCCAGTTTCGTTTGGGGTCATCTGTTTGCTTAGAGCTGCTTCACAGATGGTGGATCGATCTCTGGGTATGCAGAGAAGACTGTGGTGTGGTCATGGAGGTGCCTCCACTACAGAGTCTCTGCAATTCTGTGGCGCTTGCTCTTCCGGCCCCAGCAGTCTGGTTAGGCTGGGGCTTTGTGTTGCGACAGGACAAAGACGGACGGGAGCCCTCCCTGCCTCCTGGCCAGGATTATGTCTTCAGCCCGGGGTAGGGGGGTTTGACATGGACACGGCCTGCATCCCAGACGGAACCTGATGGGTGTTACATGGAGGCACACTGGTTCCCAGCCCAGCTGCACATGACAGGTCTCTGGGAACTTTAAAAAGCAGATGTGGATTCTGGAAGGGGCTGGACGGGCCCTGGAATCTGCATTTTTCATAGGCCATTTTGATGAGAGCCAGATTTGGGCACTGGGCCAGTCCCCGCAATGCACGTTCACTTGCTCCTTTGCTCTCCAAGCCACCATACTGGAGACCGTGGAAGCAAGGATGGTGCTCCTCCACTCCTTCCCACCCCCACACAGTGCCCACACGGTGATGGGGCTGGAAATCCTACACTAAAGTGTCAGCCGTACGGGACACTATAGACCAGGCACTCCGCACCCGGCTGCAGGTGAGGATGCCTTTGGGCAGCCTTGGAAATGCCTAATGCCCAGGTGGCAGCCAGACCAACTAAAACAGAGCTGCTGGGAGGGGTCCCAGGGACTCCCAGCATGCTGCCTGGTTGAGAATCATGGCTCTGAAGGGTACTACAGGAAAAGAGGTGTGGTCCTTGTGCCTTGGACAGAGAGGGCGTCTGGGCGGAGGTCCAGGGCGGAGGTCCAGAGCGCCAGCATTGGCTGGAGCAGACACCCTGCAGCCGGGCTTGGCTTTGAGGACTGGCATGTGCCCATAGCCGCTCCTGGAGCAAAGGTTCCTAATGTAACAGCGCACTGGGTCCCCAGGAGGGGTGCGAGCAGACTGGCTCAAGGGATCCCTCTAGTGGCAGAACCTAAGAACTAGACGTGGAGGCTGACCGTGGGGCTGGGGATGGGCGAGGAGGAGGAGTACCCCCCCAACCCCCCTGCATCTGAGAGTCCCTCCAACATTTCGTTATGTGAGGGCGGTATCCGTTCCTGTGGGGCATAGCCTGGCAGGGCCCTGTTCCGAGATGGCCAAGGCACCTGCTCTACCCTACCCCCCACTCCAGCTCCCAGCACAGTGACGGCCTGAAATCCTTGACCAAATGAGCGCTCAAGGCCCATTGGGGAATGAGTGGCCGAGGAGAGCTGCTGTTCCGGCTGAGGTCTGAGTCCCAGAGCAGGGTTGGGTTCTGTGTTCCCTCAGTGCTGTGCCTTCCACGGCATCAGGAATTAGGGCTTGGGATTGGCATGCAGGTGATGATGATCATGGGGCAAGGTCAGCAGCGAGGTCACTGGCCAGCCTGTCATTTGTCTGTCCTGGAAGTCGCCCGGTCCAGTCTGAAGGGCCAGTGGGTGAGGCTGTCATATAGCAGGACCCCCCGTGTGGACCCCCAGGTGGCCTGCCAATCGACCCCGCCCTGGGAAGTGCATCAACAATGTGTGGGAAGAGCTGAGCACAGCTCCTGTCTCCTAAATCGAATGTCTTCTGAACGCATTCTAAGGAATAATCTGAATTTCAGAAATAAAACACATTTGCGTGAAGATGTTCATCACAGTACTTTTTATAATGGAGAAAAGGGGGAAAGCATTTAAATATCCAATAGTCAAGAAGGAACTAGCTCAACTCTGGTTCACCCTACCAGACAAGGGAGTTTTATCTGGGGTCAGTGAGCCCCTGAAATCTTAGGATACTTTTTGTCTGTGTGCTCATGGACACACATTTCCTAAGGAGGGGGCACCACGCGATTTCCGTGTCTGTGACTCCCGAACGTTCAGAACCTCAATGCCACCAGAAGGAAGGACACACAGTGTTTAGAAAGGCTGAACTGTCACATGGAGATTCACAGTGTCTCTGCAGCAAAGCAGGTGGCAAATCCCACGCATATTTTGGCTAAAGTCTATGAAAAGGCCCGGAGCGTGGGTGAGGCCATCCGGGGCAGGGAGGCCCAGGAGAACCTCC